GGCAGCTTCTCATCGCTTCCTCCTCGACTGACCTTCAACAGACCCTTCATGTTCATCATCTACCACGAGGCAACCAACAGCCTGATGTGTATGGGTCGAGTCAATGACCCCACCAAGAACTAAACGAGAAAAGTGACTACGCCCCGCCCACCTGGTTACTGTACCCACATCTGTCGGATTTTCATATTTTAACAGTTTAATCCAATGACAGCTCGATTGTGTTCTAATGTTGTTTACTGTGGGTCTGTAGTATTACTTTTAGAGTGCAGTCTGTCCCAACAGGAGGGCCAGGATCCTCCCAAAGGGGCTCCAACATAAACCTGAGTGGTCTCGAGATAATAAACAGTATAAACAAATATTCTCCGCACTGTATTATGGTTACTTTTCAAACATTTGTCGATTCATAAGCACCTTGTTAATTTTATGTTAGTGTTGTATTACCAACGTGTAAACATTATGTTAGTATGATGTTAGGATCATGTTAGCATTACCCATGTGACTACAGTTATGCTACCATAAGGTTAACATTGTGCTAGCGTTATGTTAACACTAAGTTCGAACCATGTTAATATTAGCATTAAGGTAATATTTACTATTGTGCTTACATTATGTTAATATTATGTTTGTGTCATTTTACCATTATATTAGATTCATCTTAATATAATGTCACCATCATACTAACATTATGTTACTGTCATGCTAATATTATGCTAGTAACATGCTAGCAATATGTCAGTATTCTGTTTGCATAATGTTGATAGTATATTATGGCGGCTTTAGCACCATGTTAGCATCACAACTCCTGTCCTCCACTTTGTTCAAGACTGAAATCAAAAGTTGTTGGACAAACTATGATGAATAACTCATAGTGCCACCATCAGGTCAACATGGGAATGGGTCCAACATTTCAATACCTACAACGTTAATGATAGTCCCATCAGCCTCAGCTCTATTTTGTGTTTACTGCTTTGTTTACTGAGATGGGGGAAGTTGATGGAGAAAACAAACAAATTCATGCCTATGACTTTTTAGAATTTTTGACCTTCGTGGATCAGTTAATTCTTACCCTGGATGTGTTGGACTTAAGATATACTAAAGATACAATTTGTGCTTGAGATTAGTAAAAGATATTAAATAGGACGACGTATCTGATTCTGTGAATGTTTGCTGCAGCAGTAATTCGTTGGCTGATGTCACCCTCTTGTGCACCTCTTGGTGAAACACGTTTGTTGACTTAATCTTTAACAGCCTCATTGTTTTTACCACTGAAGCAACAAAAAAGTTGTCAAGGTGTTAAGCTGATGAAGTATTGTAACAGACTGGAAAGTGTGAATTTGTTTGACCTCTCTGTCTTGTCTCTCCCCCAAAAGAAAACTGAAACAAGGTCTGAAGAATCAAGCCATTGTGTGTTATCCTGAAACCCTGAACCTGTGTTTGGAGAGGTGTGGTGGATAATAGAGATGTGTAAACATCGGTTCAGGACAGCATGTTAACACTGAAACATTAACAACTAATTATTTCCAATCAGCCTCTGCTAGACTTTGTGTCTCGAGCTAGTTAGCATGTTAGCATGACATCCACTATGACACCACATATACTGAGTGCAGTTATTGAAAACACTCACTGTACCGTTATTTATCTCTGATATAGTGTATTAACATTAAAACACTGTCAAACATTGACCTGTGTATCACTCTAATGTGTTCAGAAAATCTCTTAAATCCTGTTTGTTTTTTAGTTAAACTGGACTCAGCGATGTCATACACTCACAGATATCTGGACTTCACATCTTCTTACTCAAAAAGAACATTTCAGATATCTGTATCCTTCATCGAATCCACAATTGTCATTTCACATATACACAGCAGGACAAATGTCATCATTTTATCTTGCATGTATGTGGGGTTTTACATTAGCGATACATGCAATAGGAATTCCTGTTGGTTTGGTTTTTTTTAAAAATTACAATGTGAATGGCAGATATCCGCAGCTAAATGATAGCTAGTATTGATTCCAGTTGGAGAAACCTGACAAGCGGTAATTCTAATTCAAAATATTTTTCATTCCCCTTAATGCAAGAATAGTAATTTTTACACATTGATTATGTTTGAACTAGTCAGAATAACGTAGATATCATGAATTGGAATTCTTCCAAATCAAAATATAACTACAGATATCTGGAATTGGAGTTTTGTTGAGACAAAGTTACATTGCAGATATCTGTAGTTACATCAGAAACAAAGGCCGAAGGCGCCTGGTTTTGAAACATACTGTGGCACTGAAAGCATAACTTAATTTCAACCATCGGTCTCTAATGAACAAAGTTTTGGTTCTCCACAAATGTCTTGCTGATCAGCTCGTCATATTTCACTGCCTTTTCTAACGATCTTATCCACCACAGTAGCCATCATTATTTCTGCTTGCACGAGACTGATATTCAATGCAAAGCCTCGTATGAGTCGCAACATGCACAGCAATTCGGAACAGTCATAATGACATTTGAGATATCTGCACCTCTATTATGACTAGTTCAAACTGAATTATGGATATATCCAACTGTTGTTTTGACTGCAGAATGACATTATAGATATCTGAAATATAACTATGACTAGTGAAAATGACATTGATATCTGAGTTAAATCTGGATAGTCAAACTTAACTGAAATGTTTAAACACCTTGTCATTTTTAAGGTGAAAACCTCGATCCCTGTGACCGTACGTGTTCCAATGCAGCCACCTTACAGAGCAGCCAAAAGTTAAAGCCACCATTGAGATGTCACCATTTATCCAACCAATCACGCATCACCAGCTGAAAACACTCACCAATAACAACACACCGACAGTTTGTATGTGTGGAGTTTACTGAACCAATCAGGTGGCAGAATGAGATCATTAGAATACACAGTGCTCAGTAGATATAAATAGAAGTCAGACTCTACTGTCTCTGTTTGTGACTGTAAGGCAGAGATGATGTTCTGTTGCAATCTGGGTAGCATCCGGAAGCTGCTGTCTCAATGGCAACCTCTCCTTGGATTGGCTGATGGCCTGGTGGAGGGATGATTATCATCATCTTCAGTCTCGTCCTGACTGGACGTTGAAAGAGTTCGACTTCCTGTTTCTATGGATTAAAAAAGTAAAAATAAAAAAAGCAAAAACAACATTGATTACTTTTAAAATGAAATCAGACTTGACTGTTTAAACTGAGAAAGAAAGTAAGAATTAAAACCAGGCCACATTTAGACCAGAATGAAGTGAGAGCTCAGTGTCAGGGCTTGTGGAGTTAGACCACTGAACAGTTTTTAAAAAAAATAGTTTTTGGCTCACTGATGCACTGGAGCCATAAGAACATGGTTCCATCCCCCCAACACTATAACATTATCAAAACTAGAACACACTGACATCTGTGGCGCTCCCACTCAATCATGAGTTACTACACCTGCTACCGTACACAGTCTACTAGCTATTTAAATGCATTTTCAGTGGACGGCAGAATTTGTGGAACAGCTCGGCCTCCTTATTTAAATTTCTTGGGGATGATGGGCTGATGTTCACACCAACACCCGCCTCTGCAGTGGCCATTTCAAAATGGGTAGTTTTACAAACTTTCATCAGAGACAGCTGGGATCCACAAACAATCTGCTGCTGGTGAATTGGCCGAATCAACTATCTCCTACCTTGGCCATCATCCTGCCGTCCCACTGACATCTGGTGTCACTGGTACCAGTACCTGGCCACCAGTGAATGTAGATTGCCTTTGGTGGTTACATTTTATAGTAGGCAACTTAGATAACAGCAACAAAGTGACAAAAATTTTAACCCTGGGTCAGACGGGCTGCATAATCCATCCATCCATTATCTGTACACCGCTTAATCCTCACTAGGGTC